ACCTGATGATGGTTTTATAAAAACTGAAACATGTTGTGTAAAATGTTCCAAGATGTAAATCGATCAATCGATATGGAACATCAATGATATTTTATTATCTTAATTATAAGAAATTTTAAATATTGTGATAAGACGGATTAAAATAAATAATTTATGTTAAGTATATAAAGCAGTATTCATAAGTGAACAAACAAACGTGACTAGCGTTTACCTTTTTAACACATGCTTTAAAGAAAGAGAAGTAGATATGAATGAGACTCCTGGCTAGCTCAGCTTCATCATTAGACAACAGGAAATGTGATAGAAAGCATATCCCATAGTACTGTGCTTTACGGCTAATGTTGGGCCTGAAACAGTTTGAACATATTGTGAGGAGTTGCACACTAATATAATCAGTTGTTAACAAGATACATAATATATAAGAAATGGAAGTATAATACATAACTGTATTGAACATAATGAAGAAACAGAATATAAAAGAGACATCTAACAAATATACATTTTATGTAAAAAGAGATTTAAAAATAAAATAGTGAGTGTAAAATCATGACAATCTCTAATTTTTCTTACACTAAGTTAAGAAAAGAGGGGGGAGGAAAGCAAAAGACATTTTAATTCAGTTAAGTATGGTACTGTGTATATAAGCCACCATAGCTCAGTTAGTATAGTAACTGGCTATGGAATGGACGGCCGGGGTTTGATCCCTAACGGGGGCAGAGGATTTTTCCGCTAGCCTCTGTGTCTACACTGGTTCTGGGGCCTAACCAGCCTCCTATCTAATGGGTACTGGGGCCCTTTCCTGGTGGTAAAGCGCAGCTGGGGCGTGATTCTGACCACTCACCCTGAAGTCAAGAACGAGTAGGAGCTATACCTTCCCCCCACCAAGTGCCTACATGGCATATAGTGGGACAGCTTAAATTACTTTTACTTTTATAGTATTGTACATAATGTAGAATCAATTTATAGTAAGTGAACTATAATGAGATGATAAGAAGGAACAAACCTAGACTAAACCCCTCATGTAGTTGTCTCCAATAATTCTGAACAGACAGAAGAATAACATACAAGGCAGTCATAGTCCACAATTATTTTAGTTAGTTTAATTAGTTTAATACAGAAGAGTTTTTCATTCAGTGTAACATGGTCACTGACAGGGTTACAAGATTCATTTACCTGAACAGTAACTTCTCAGTTTCTCCCATGACTACAAACTTCATGTTAGGGTGAACCTGCAACAACTGGATCAGACTATAGATGGCTTTTGATGCAACCTTCTGGCTTGGATCCCCAAGCTTGTTAACAAGATTTCTAAGAAGAAGCTGAAACAAAAGCAATATGAATTCCGAGTTTCTCTAGACCTCTTCTTAAGCACTGTTCATACTTCAGAAACAAATGTCCAGTCAGCATTTTGTGTATGTCCATCCGTCCAACATTCTATGAATCAGTCAAGCCCTCATAATAGCACGCCATATTTTTACAAAATTGTATATGGGAAATTCATAACATAATGTGTATTATAATTTAGTCTATACTGATAGTAAACAAACAACTATTAACACTATAAAAAGACACTATTGCAATAGTGTATTTTTAAAGTGTTAATAGTTGTTTGTTTACTTATTTTATATTCTAATACACTACACGGTATGCAAAGTTTTAAGACTATACTGATCAATTAGAAATGCTACTCAATAAACTTATAGTACCCAGTAGCACACTGTGTGGTTTGCCTACATCACTAATTTGTGAGTAGAAGAAAAACACACATACAATGTAAACCAAAGACATTACTGAGGCAATAAGTTACAGGTAGCCCTCGATTTGCGCCGATTTTGAAAACAGCAAGTCAAAAAGTGAAAAAAATATATTTTACTATTATTTATAACGTTTTACAATGTATCTCGTACT